CTGAACACATTTACATGGTCACTTGATGACCTCACTGTAGCCCCGCCCACTTTTAAGAGGCAGTCACATGTTTTTTCTGCTGTTTGTTTTACTGTTATTCTATAATTTATATGGGTTTCATCATGTGAATACTGACTAAAAATGATAACATGATGAACTCTATGAATGCTAGCTGCTGACCGAACCGCATTGGGATGTAGAAATGACGAAATGTAGTACTTCGCCATGTGCATATGATCGGCTCTAAATGACACGTGGATCATCGGACTGGCGCCAAATTGGATACGTATGACCTTTGTTGACCTCTAAAGAGCAAAACAGCATTGAAATGTATTTTGACTCCACTGCACCCCTACATTAATTCGCCAGCTATATTTCCTCGCTAAACCAATGAATCTATACCACATTTTTTTGCATCGTGAAAGATAGCCGCCGAACGCATATATGCGTACCGCCTGGTGGACGGGCGGAAACTGCGCAACAACATTTGTCTTAGCACGTGCGCAGCGTTGATGGAAACTGAGCAACAGCTTCCGCGGTGCGGGCGGAGGCGCTGAAAACTGCGTGAGAGCTTCTGTGGTGGCTGGCGTGAGGCGGTGGTTGCTCGTACCCCGCGGTGGCAATAGGCCGGAGCGGCGCTTGGCTGCGAGGGCCGTTCGAGGCTGCTTGCAGCTTTAATTATTATTATTCTCCTCCAAATGAATTGGCTTTTTGGGGGCTTATCATATTCAAAAACTCACCAAACTTGGCGGAGGGCTTAAGCCTGTTTCAAATTTACGTATTTTAAAGTCGTCGCAAAAATCCCACAAGAAATGGCTCAATAGCGCCACCTAGAAATTTTCAAATGACCCTTTGCTATTCACTTGCTTTATCCTAGAGACATGAAATTTGGTACACTTGTAGAGCTCCCCAAGATACTCAAAATTTACAATTAATGTCATAGTGCAAGTATCACAGGAAGTCGGCCATTTTGGATTGAATGTCCAATTTTGAGCCCATTTTTGCCGTTTACAGCCTTCATATTTGATCGAACTCCTCCTAGGGATTTCCATTGACCGGCTTCAAACTCGGTCAGTCTGTTCATAAGGCATGTCCCATCTAAAGTTATCAAAACGGTGAGTTTTTGAGTATGCTGAAGGGGGGTTAGCAGGGGTCAAAGTTCACCTACTCGCCGTAAAAAAATAAACTGCTATATCTCCTACACAGAAACTCACAGAGGCACCAAAGTTACTGTGATTGATCATCATCGGCTGCCCTACAATACCCTATGGTCGAATGATGACATCACTTAGGCCACGCCCCCTGAGAACAGGAAGTGTAATGTTTTACTGTGAACGGTCGCTATCTGACCCCTTTGACCTCATCAACATGAAACTGTGCCCAGACACAGAAAACATGTTGGTGTATTGAGGATTCCAACCCCGACCAGCTACGATGGAGCAGGTGGGCGTGGCGGCGTGGCGAAGTGACCTGTAACGCCATCGCCATACGTTTGGCTCTCAATTCCACATTTTTGGGCCCAGCTGCTCCAATTTCACAAAGATGGACCCTCGTCTACTCCCGACAGGAATCCATCACAATATTTGGTGGGTGTGGCCTAATTTCTCTATAGCGCCCCCTAGAACACTTTAAATGATCAGCCCCAAGCCATGCTTTAACCTACAATTACGAAACTTTGTACACGTGTGTACCTTGTCAGGACTTACAAAAAAGTCTCTTGGAGCCATTGTCTAAACCCCACAGGAAGTCAGCCATTTTGGATTGAAGTTTGGATTTTGACCCATTTTTGCCGTTTACAGCCTTCCTATTTGATGAAACTCCTCCTAGGGATTTTGATTGATCGGCTTCAAACTCGGTCAGTCTGTTCATAAGGCATGTCCCATCTAAAGTTATCAAAACGGTGAGTTTTTGAGTATGCTGAAGGGGGTTAGCAGGGGTCAAAGTTCACCTACTCCCCATAAAAAATAAACTGCTATATCTCCTACACAGAAACTCACAGAGGCACCAAAGTTTCTGTGATTGATCATCATCGGGTGTCCTAAAATACCCTATGGTCGAATGATGACATCACTTAGGCCACGCCCCCTGAGAAAAGGAAGTGTCATGTTTTACTCTGAATGGTCGCTATCTGACCCCTTTGACCTCATCAACATGAAACTGTGCCCAGACACAGAAGACATGTTGGTGTGTTGAGGATTCCAACCCCGACCAGCTTCGATGGAGCAGCTGGGCGTGGCGGCGTGGCGAAGTCACCTGTAACGCCATCGCCATACGTTTGGCTCTCAATTCCACATTTTTGGGCGCAGCTGCTCCAAACTCACAAGGATGGATCTTCATCCACTCCCCGACAGGAATCCATCACAATATTTGTAGGGTGTGGCCTAATTTCTCTATAGCGCCCCTAGAAAATTTTAAATGATCAGCCCCAAGCCATGCTTTAACCTACAATTACGAAACTTTGGACACGTGTGTACCATGTCAGGACTTACAAAAAAGTCTCTTGGAGCCATGGTCTAAACCCCAGAGGAAGTCGGCCATTTTTGATTGAAGTACAGATTTTCATCCATTTTTGCCGTTTATAAACCATTTCAGTAATTCGCCACTTGGGGTCAGTATTGCTCCACAAATGAAACAGCAGATAAACAGGATGAAGAACAATATCAGTATTTCGCCAGTAGGTGTCAGTGTTCCTCCACCAATGACAAACAGATCCACGGGCGGATGGGCGTGAAAACTTTGTGAGAGCGTTGCCATTAAATTTCTAAAAGGATAGAAATCTCAGATAATTTTTGTTGAATTAAATCATGCAGTAAATGTAGCATTTTCTTACTTCTTACAAACCATTTCAGTAATTCGCCACTCTGAGTAAGTATTACTCCAACAATGAAAAGAGTGCTTTAGAAACACAGCTGAAAATGATGAAAAATGACGAACTGTAGTACTTCGCCATGTGCATATGATCGGCTGTAAATGACACGTGGATCATCCGACTGATGCCAAATTGGATACGTATGACCTTTGTTGACCTCTAAAGAGAACAACAGCATTGAAATATATTTTGACTCCACTGCGCGTCCTACATTAATCCGCCAGCTATATTTCCTCGCTAAACCAATGAATCTGCACCACATTTTTTGCAACGTCAAGGAGCGCCTCCGAACGCATCAGTGCGTACCGCCTGGTGGACGGGCGCGGAAACTGCGCAACAACTTCTGTGTTAGCACGTGGCCAGCGTTGATGGAATCTGAGCAACAGCTTCCGCGGTGCAGGCGGAGGAGCTGAAACTGCGTGAGAGCTTCTGTAGTGGCTGACGTGAGGCGACGGTTGCTAGTACCCCGCGGTGGCAATAGGCCGGAGCGGCGCTTGGCTGCGAGGGCCGTTCGAGGCTGCTTGCAGCTTTAATACATCTTATATGCTTAATATCAATGCACACACTATAGAAGCGGGGGTTGCAAAAATGCTTCTCTTCATAGACATAATTTTGCCTATTGCATCAAAAGTGGTCTTGATTTATTTATGCTTCGACCCACAGGCTGGGATCCTGTGCAGCTGGAAGGAGTTTAGTTCTCACTTTCAGACAGTCCTTATGTGCAACAGTGGCAACAAGTATTGTTTTACCACTAGGAGGCGCTGACTAGCATCCCAAAAGTCTAAATAACACTTGAACTACGACCACAAAGCTGTTAGTGTGGAATATAGTCCCTTCCGCCTGGAAATGGACCTCAGTTATTAAATTTGAATTGATTTAGAAAAAGTCATTTTAGATATGGTCACGGTTGTTGTGCGATTAACAAGAGTAGTCAGACTAGTTGTATAATTAGATGATCTTTAAGTAGTTTGTTTTGGTTAAAATGACAGATACCACAGTCATTGTTCCTCCTAAAACTTAAAGCATTACCGAATAACTTTACATTTATATTTTACTTTGCATTGGAACTTTTAATTTGTAATACGCAACTTCCTTTTCCCCCGTGGTTATAAATGAGCCCATCTTTAAATATGAGCTCCTTTCAGTCAGGCACAGTTCTGCTCACTTTTGTCCTTTCTCCCAGAAGTTGTCATTTTAAAATGATCGCCGCTTTGCACTTCCATGTTTGCTCTGTGATTGTGGGGATTTAAACATGATAGAAGGATTAACACTGAGACAGAAGCAGCTTCACAGAGCTACGGGGATAGCTGCAGACGTTAACCTCCCTGTTATTTATCAACATGCCAAGCTCTGTCGAATGATGTCTTTATCCTCTAAAAACCTGTGGTGAAAATCACAGCTAATCACATTAGTCAAGCCTTCTGTTCAGAGCTGGGGATTGGAAAAATAGCTCGCTTTCGGTGTCTGTCCAGCAACGGAAAAACAGATAGGAGTCACAGATGTGGGGGATTCAGGGACGGGGGCATATGTCCTAATTCCATTATACCAGATTATAGTCAAATGGCAGCTTTGATGATGATTTATTCATCGTTTGGTTTCTCTTAAAAATAGTTCCAATGTGCTGTGATTTTTCTAATTAGCATTTAGATTATCTTTGTTATACAGCCAGCCAATGTCTCTTTATCATATTAGTCTAAGAGATGGCCATCAAATGCAATTAACATTTTATCTTAACTTATTTATCCCTGGTTGGCATTACCTGCAGGAAGTGAGATATTGCTTTAGAGAATGATGTTAGTGGCCATTAGAGTTATTGGAGTAATTCTGCAGAGGTTGTCTCCATGGCAGTGTGGACCGCCAGAGCTGTTTTCTTATAACACTTAAGTGGAATCATTTAGCTAATGGTTTAATGGTTTTGTCCAGCGAGATCAAGCCTGTCAAGCCTGAGAGCAACAGCCTTAATGGCTAAAGTGGGGGATGTTGTCATAAAAAGGAATAAATTATGACCTTCAGAGAACTTTGAACTTGATCAGATCAGATGTTGTGCGTTACATTAACATTTAGACGAGTGTGCCAGCATGTTAAAAGAAAGTTAACAGCCTTCTCTCTCACTCTCTGTTACCAAAAACAGACCTGTCGCGTTTCTCCTTTGAGGCCGTGTGGAACCCCGTCTACGCAGAGATCAACAGGGAAGTTTTCAGCACAAAGCAGAGCATATGATGTTGATCCAGACAGTGTTGTGGCCAAAGACGGTGAGAAAAAGCCGGGCGTCAAGACCGTGGTCACCAACTGTCCTCTGACATCAACGTCTAGATGTTTTCCCTTTACCTCCCCGTCAGACTCTAGTCCTCGAACAAACAAGAAGGACAGGAAACGGGGAGCTTCTGAGGACGCTGGGTACCGACGGCCTACAGTTTCCTCCATGTCACGAACTCTGTCTCCTTACACGCACCGCAGGATGTGTGAGCTGACCGAGGAGAGCAGGCAGCGGATGAGCCACCTCCGCCTGGGGCCTCACCTCTTTCGCAAGTCGAAGGAGAAGCAGCCGCCCTTTTTGGTTTGTGTTTGTTTTGTGTGTTTTCTTCTTCCTTTTTTTCCGTTTATTTTTTTTTTAATCACATGGATGCACTATTTACCAAACAGGCAGTTAAAATCACAGCGTGATTCTGTTGAACCAAAACAATGGAACAGACCAGCGTGTGCTCGGAAAATATAAAAATTGGAGTACTTGAGCAAAAACAGGCAGTTTTGTCATAATATATAATTTCCGCCTCTTCTGGATTTCCTCAAATTTTCTCAGTAAGAAGTGGATTTTATTTTGTTCCCACAGCAAAACTGTCATAAACAATTTCATCCCAATCTTCTATATTTATAGTTTATATTATTCTTAGGATGGCTTTTCTGTCTGCAGTTCTTAATATTTTAAACTGGCATTTTCTATTGCTGCTCTGGTTTGCAGAATAAGAAAAGCCCAAAAAGTTTTTTTTTATGCAACAAGTAAAACTAAAAACACTGGCTGTCTCTAATAATTACATAAATGAAAAGCATAACTAATCTAATAATCTTAACAATAATAAAAACATAAAGTGTGAATTAATGAATGAAATAGTCAATGAATGATATTCAGAAAACAAACACACCAAATTTATTGTTTTCCAGGATCCGGATGGAAATTTAGTGACTGTGTCTGTAGACTTGTTCATCTGTCAAACGGGGTTGTTTGATGAATCGTTATCTCTGCTCTAAATTTAGATTTAATTTAATCAATGTATGATTGTTCAAATATTTTGTGGGATTTCAAAAAAACTCTTAATTTTAAAGTTTAACAATATATAAGCTATAATAGAACTTTGTTTAGGTGTTTTTTTTAGATGGGGAAAATGTCCCCACTATTCTAGATCTCATTTTCTTTGTTTTCTTTTCCTTTTTTTTCCTTGTATTGTTTCCTCTGTCCATTCTCTCTGTCTTGTGTCCTTTTTTCATTCCTTGTATATGTTTTGTTCCTCCTTATTATGCTCCTTCTGTTCTTCCATTTTTCTCCCTTCCTTTTCTGATTGTCCTTTTTCCTCTATTCATTATCTCATTCCTTGTTTTCTTTATTATCTGCTTATCTTTCCATACTTTTTGCTATTGCTCTACCAATGCATTCTACCTCCCTTCTCTCTGTCTTTCCGTCATTGTGTCCTAAATCTCCTCTTTTTAACCTTTCTGACCTCATTCTCTTCCTTCCTTTATGTTATCATATCCTTCTTCTGCTTGTATGCCTGTATGTAACCTTTATTTAACTAAGTGATTGTGATTTAAATAAAACATCTATTTAGAAAGAGAGACCTGGTCAAGGCTGGCAGCAGCACATTGACAATTGCAAATATCAAAACCAAATTAAAGTACAATACGGATAATAACGAAAGAAAAATAACATAGAGCAAACACAGCCATAAAAGTAAAAATAGGACTAAAAAACCTGAGGTGGTAAGGACAAGAACAAAGTTTGTTCAAATCAGAACATTTCCTACTTCTCCCAAACGAAGGTGCATAATCAGTTCTGATAGATCCCTCCCTCTGCACCTTTTGTACATTATATTTGTCAAACACCAAACAAGAGTAAAAAGAAGAGTTTTGCCCTGCTGAAGTGTCAAGAACAAACTGCAAGAACAGAATGATATCTTTCTGTTCTTAGAGCCCTGGGAGAGAGAACAAATATTGGCCTTTACCCTCCTTCAATCCACCGTTGTCCTTCATGGTTGCTTTACTTTTTGCACCCTTATTTCTTTCCCTCCTTGTTTCTTTGTCTCTTTTTTTTTCTTTCCTTGTTTTTCTTTGTTTCTTCCTGTCTTTTGTACTTTTAATTCTAAATGCCACTGCATCCTCCCCTTTTTATCTTTTTTCCCTACCTCCATTTTCTTAGTCTGGAATTACAAGATGAAAAATATCTCAAGGATAGTCTGGCTCTATGCTGGGATCTCCTCTCTTCTCTTGATCACATACAGCAAAACTATTTGTATGATGAGGGACATAAAATATAGAGTGGTTTTCATGGTTTTCCTAAAACCACGATTAAAACACAAACAACATGCAGTAAAGCCTCTATAAGCCTGGCCCATAAAAGCTGCATCAAGCTTGTGAAGTCAAGATCTTATGGGAATCAATTCAGTACCTTTCATTCCTTCATGTATCTTGGTTTTTAAAAATCTCAGAATTAAAGACAGCTAATAACTTGATCATGGTTCTCTGTGTTTAATAATCCAGCAGTAGACGTGTTCTAAGCACACGGTTTAGAAGATTAATAAGAGCCTGAGTTGCTGCAGGTCACACCTCAGTGGGAGCTTCCCCAAATTTCACTTAATCATGCAAGCAGATTAAGTTAAGGATGTAGTAATAAGGCTATGTTAATCTTTTTATCTTAGCTTTTAATGGATTTTGACATCATGAATGGATTTTGCCTATTTGTACTCAGATGTCCACACTGAGGGACCTGAACATGATTTAAAAGATAACATTCAGATGTTTTTAAAGAACAACAATTTGATTAAAGTCACATGTATCAAGAAAATACTCTTCACAAAGGGATGAGTTTCTGTATGGCCGTCGGCAGCATCTTGCACACTGTTAACAGATCAGACTATTAGATCCTGCTTTGTGTTTTTGGGGAGACTCATTAATGAAATTCACTTGATGATTACTGTTGTTTCTGTATCTGAGGCAGGAGCATGCTTTCCTGCCTCTGCATTTCCTGGGGGGTGATCCTCTTCCTATAATTAACCCCATTAATTGAGTGCCAGGCCGCAATTAACAAATGAACACCTCATGAAGTAGTTCAGCTTTGTGAGAAGAGAGTAATCAGTGCGAGTTTCAGAGCTTCAAATGCTTCCTGTGTGCCGAGGAAAGTCAAAGTGTTAACGCAGAATGCAATTTGCGTCAAAAAAGTGGAAAGGAGGTTAAAAAAATTGTTTTGCTTCATTCAAAACACTGTGGAAATGTGATTTATCTACTTTATTTGTCTTTTGTGTTTCCACAGTGCAGCAGGAGGAAGTCATTTGCTTATTTTTTTACCATTCAGAGTTTTGCAAGACAGATCAAAGAAAACATGTTGAAGTGTTTCATATTAAACATAAATTATTCTCTCACCCTGTGATGTTCCAGGTCCCTCATCACAGTGATACCACTGGGGTGGGAACATCGAACCGCAGCACGGATCGACACAGTTTCTCACCTGATCACACAGGTAGGCTCATGCTACTGCAAAAACTTCTCTATGCAAACTATTACACATTAATTACTTTGGAACGTTTGGTTAATAACACATTTTTAAATTTATGTTTACACATGTCTGACAGAAAAACAAACTGAATGTTTTCAGATTGTGTACTTTCTGATTTTAGCATTTCGAGTTGTGTTATATTCCCCCCATTAAGTCACCCTCATCAGATATTTATAATAGGTTTTAATCTTCTTATATTGATACTCTGATTTATGAAATAGGAATATAGGAGACTTTAAAGCAACATGTAGCTCAAAATATCTTGGGTTAAACATTAACTAGTGATTTCCTTTTATATGTCTTCCTGTAGATGCTTCTCTCTATGGAAGCTACAGACAGAGGACAGAGCAAGTAAGTTATTATCTTTGAACTTGGGACGCTGTGCCAAAGTTTAAAGAATGAATGAATGTGTCCCGTCATGGTTAAGACACAGATGAAACACTATTCTTTTTTTGTGTATTAGTTTATGTTTAAAGGAATTTTTGTTGGGATGTTATATTAAATGGGGCTGGATACATATTTTTAAAACATTTTTAAAAAGCAGGTTCTCCCACTTCCTGACGAGGGATGTGAAATTTGATCAATTCTACGATAAGTATCAATATTTTTTAAATAAATTAAATCCTACATTGAGTTTTATGTCAAACCCACATGAATTAAATGACAGTCATCACAGATGACATTTTTTACCCAGTTGCACATGTACATTGAAAATATAATGAAGCAACCAGTTACAACTAATTAAATAATTAAATCTCATAAATTACCTTATCTAGCTGAGTAAGACAAAAAAGATTCCTTTTGTGCATAACCAAATACGAAATGCCACACAATTAGCATTTAAATAAAGCAAATGTATAACAGACACAACATTTATTACACCATCAGTTCAATTAATTCAATCCTAGTATTTGGAACAGTGACACAATGTTACTAAAACAGATTTCTAAAATCTTTCACAAAATCTTAAAAATGTATTGAATCGTATCGTTTGCTGAATATTGTGACATATATCATTCTGTGAGCAGAATATCGTGTATCGTATTGTATGAGATTAGTGTATCACTGCAGCCCTGTTCCTGACACCTCAGTAATGAACAGAATTATGCTCTGCTGCATAAAATCTTAATATAATAGATTGTGTTTTTAGCCTGACAAAATATGCAGTTCAAGATGTGTGAATAGATTTTAGAGGCCCTGTCGCAAACATTATATACATTATTATCGATAATGACAACCCAGGAATACAGATATGTTCTTTTATTAAAGTGCACTTTAGGACTAAAGCTAAAATATGTATAAAATACATTAGTTTGTTTGAAAGTTTCAAGGTGAACGTGGCTCACAACTTGAGTAACTATTTATTTATTTATTTATTTATTTATTTTCTTCCTTTTTCTAGATAGCATCGGCTTCAGCAAGGCTCCAAACGTCTCCGGAGACACGTTCCCGACATGAACCCGAGATCAAAGGCCCAGGCTGGACCGAGATGCGGCGGACCCGGTCCGTCTCAGCTTGGTCTGGCCTGGCAGTGTCAGAATCAGGGAAGCTTCTGAATGTCAGCAGCTGCTCCCTCAGAGACCGGTAAATCCCTTCCCCTCACTGGCTTTTCACATTTTATTACAACTTTTTAAACCTGGAAAGTGTCTCAAGATAAAAGTGTCTTTGGTTCAGTCTTAAAATAATTGCAGTGACCAAAAGCAGCTGCCTAGGAGGCAGAGATTAGTTTGCGTTACTAATGATCAAAACATTCTTGGGAAGTTTAATCTACAATAAATTGAAAAAAATCTAATCAAATTCAATAGGGAAGAAAATATTTACATCTACGCTGACGCTGTTTGCTGCAGACCGTCCTCATTGTCACACTGAAGCTGGAGCGACAACAATCCTAATTTTTTTCTGATGTTTACCCTGAATTTGTCGAGCTCCATCTGTGCGCATCATTTTTGTTTGCCCAAAAGATCTCGAAAGCAAAACAGGCACCTGTATGAGTTCCCAATTACGGTGTACAGCAAATATATGGAAATCCCAGGAGGTGTCTGGATGCGCTGGTGCCGGGCAAATCTGTGGCTGTGTGCGTGTGCACGTGTATGTGCACACACACACATCTAATCTTTAATTTTGATCACACTCAACGGGAGCGTTGAATTCTCCTCCACCTTTTAAATTATAGAAGCTGATGTCTTGTCATGTTTGGTCATTACTGAAGAAGGAGGCAGCAAGAAGGGAAAACAAAGAGGAAATGGTATTGATTTGTGTTTCTGCTTGAGACTGATGCATTTGACCCGATGCACACTTTACTACGTTCAGAGACCTTGTCATCAATCACAGGAGATGTGAGCCGAGCGCGCCGATGCGACCGACGTCTCGTTTTGTTTGTTTGCTCCGCTTCGCTCAGTCCATAAGTAAACATTAAAATCAATAGACAATCTTAAACTGCAAAGTAAATTGCAGGAAATGAAGGATACTTTTCTCTCATCTGGAAACGCGGCAGGATTCGCTGGGTGGGAGATTAGACTTGGCCTTTGTAGATTCCCTCTGACAGTGAAGGGGGCACGTCTTCTCCACCAATCTATGATCTATAAAGGAAATGACAGATGCCAGTGGCAGCTTTCTGCCCCCTAAGCCTCTGAGTCTCAGTCTATTCATGTCTCGGGATGATTTGTCCTTGATGACTTTTTGATGCAGGTACCGAGTTTATCTGATTACAGATGAAAAGCTCCTGTTCAAACACTGCCAGCGAGGACGAGACCCGAGTCAATCTGTCACTTATCACCCCTCCAGTACCAACAAATGGACGTGAATGAGAGGCAATACAGAAGGATTTGTTTTTATCAGTGCAATCTTTTGTGTCTTGACTTACTGTAGAAAATATTTATTTAAAAAGCAATGGTAAAGATAAATTATTGCTTGAACTAATATTGTTGGTCATTAATATTAGATACTGTTAAAATAACAAAAAACTGAGTTATTTTACAAGAAACAATTATAATGGTGGTTTAGAGAACGTTTAATTGCTAGCAAAGAACTGAAGTGTCAGGCTGTGATCTCAACATCGTCGCTCGTCTTATCTTTGGTTGGAGCACAGACTAGTGGACACAAGTTACATTACCAAAATAAATATCATTTTATATATAATATATATCATTTTTGAAGAGTCTTGGTAAATGTTAATATATCTTTTGAAATTCTTTTCAAAAAGGGGGAAAAAAATTAACCCCTTTTAGCTTTCTTGATTTTTTGTTTTTGGGGTAGAGTCTATTTTATCACGCCTGAGTGTTTCATAAAATCAAACAAATGTTGCTGTCACACAAAAATAACCTAAGAAAAAACAGAAGAAATTAAAAAACATAAAGAAATTTCCCAGTTCAAAACATTGTCCTGATCTAAAAAAATGTCAAGATCAGATGAGAAACACAGCTATTGACATCTTCTCAGTTTGGAAAGGGTCACGAACCCATTTCTACAGCTTTGGCAATTCAAGATCACTTTGTCTGCAAATAACAAAGTGAGTCGTTACCAGAAATGGAGAAAATATGAGCGGTAAATAATGAGTTTCCAGAGCATCTCAGAGGTTTTTTTTTTTATAATTTAAAGGATGTTTTTGGCTCTTCATGTGACAGAGAGTAAATATGAAAGTGGGTTGTGAGAGAGGTCAAAAGGTGGGACTCAAACCTGTGACCTGCACCCATTTAGAAGGATTTTAAAGAACCCAGAACGACATTTAAAACACTGATGGCCTCACTGTCTCAGCTGGATTGAATAAGGGCTTGATCCAATCCGAGTTGCTGTGCATGTTTTCATGCATGCATGCATGGTTCTCATCCTCTGTACTCTGGTTTTCCTCTGCAGTCCCACAAACATGACTGCCAAGTTAATTCGTCTCACTGGGGTACGTGTGCATACCATGCATCTCACCCAATGAAAGATTGATTAAATGTTTGTTTTGGTTTCTTTGTCTTCCTCAGACTTCAGGCTGGTCCATCCTATGGAGAACAGATCCACAACCGGATCCAGAAGATTCTGCAGACGCACAGAGCCACCTATGAGCGCAGATAGAGCTGTAACCTTTAATACGCCGCATGAGTGTTTATGCTGTATAAACAGCACAACCTAGATGTTAATTGTAATGCATCCAGTGTTTTTACTCTAAATTGTATGAGGAATCTATACAATATATATATATATATATATATATATATATATATATATATATATATATATATATATATATATATATATATATATATATATATATATATATATATATACTTGCACTATTTTGACAGAAATCAAACCTAAAAGTGGAGAGTCAAACCATCCCACACACGTAAAGTATTTCCTTTATTATATTTAACATTTCAAACATCTGGAGCGAGTGAAGGCCATTTCTTTTCCCTCCGACCCGTCTTCTGGGCTCCTCTGAATGTTTGAGCCAAACAGAGCCGTTTATTAAACTCTGGCTTGGGTTTACAGAAGGCCCGTTTTGCGTGTGTGGGAAGGAGACACGGAGGATGTAAGCTGCAGCTGTCGAGGGCTCGGCTCTTATAGCACAAAAGATAAGCATGAAGGTAGCCAAGAGCCACCGCTGCAAGCCCCAAACTAAACCAGACAAGAGATTTGAGCGAGAAAAGGAACAAAAGTAATCCTGAATGAAAGAGCGGGGAACACAAAGAGACCGAGACGCAACTGAAATGCAAACATAGCAGTTTCAGAGTATTACATGGAAATGTAATACTATGATAATTTGTCAATTATCATTGACAAAGCTTTACAGAACATCCTTCTGCTATGGGATAATATGTAAAGGTATTTATCACAGCGAATCAAATAATAGCCATTATGCACTCTTGTCACTTCAACACTAAATAACACTAGATATGCAAGAAGCTCTTAAGTTTTTGAATAGAAAAGCAACAGATCTAATAATGGAAAATCTGACCTATTTGGGAGGTTTCTACATGTCTGCTTAAGTTCAAAATTATGCTATCCAATACTCAATATCCATAAAAGGTCAAGCTGAGTTCTTCTTTTGTCACATCAATGTAACTTTTATTCTGCAGTCCCAGTATTATCATAGTTAAAATGTATGCATTTTAAACTTTACCTCTACAATCTTTAGAATTATACCAAAGATAGTAGTGAAATTATTCTATTTTTAGGTAGATACTCCAAAACTGGTTCAGATTTCTGATTAAAAATCCAACTCGTGGCAAACAAGCAGTACTTATTAATCACTGTACAGAGTTATGAAATCATCAGATCAGGACGAAAGAGGATCAGTGTTTCACTGTTCATACACTCGTCTCACACTCCTCAATAATATCAGTGTTCATGGAAAAGCTCCTCTGGGTCGGAGTTCACGACTTCTTCACTTCTTACGGAATTTCTTCTTCTGGCTCCTCTTCCCAGCTCGCTGTGCTGCTTTCTCTGCTATAATCTGCTGGTACTTCCTTTTATTCTTTCTGCATCGAGAAAAGAAAACTGCATTTTATGTTTCTGTTTTTAAAAGTCTGAAACATTAAAAATGGGCATTTCTTGTGAAAATGACGTGTGAATGCTGTAAGCAGAATGTTTTTGGAGAAAATCGGAAGGAGTGATAGTATGAGGGTAAGAAGTTTAAGTTCATCATTCCAGTCAAATTATGACCAAATTAGGATCATTCCCTAATTCGGAATGAACCTAATTCATTCCGAATTAGTCATGAGACAGACAATCTGTGGGGAACAAAAAGTTGTGCTCCTTTCTCTCTGTGGTCCAGCTGTAATCTGTGGAAATACACCACTTGTTCAGAAACAACCAGTAAGAGGCAGGAGGAGGATCTAACGCTGTCAATCATACATGTGTACACGCTGGTCATGCCCTCCCTGATCTGGAGCACAGCTCCAGATCAGGGTACATTCCACAGGGTACATTCTCAAAACAAGAAAAAAGAAGTCAAATGAAACACTTTAGTTTATTCTTTAACTTACTGCCTGAACTCGGCATCATGCAGCAGCTCCTCCACCATGGTTCTCTTCCTCTCTTTCTTGGGAATACGGGAATGATAGAAATCAACTGGGCTGTCCACCACAGTGCCCACCTATCAAACATGTAGAATGAGATTGAAGAATCTTATCACCACAGACTGTGACATCTATTTGAAAGGTTAATGAAAATCAGCATTTTTCTAAGGAATCTGAAACGCCAGTAAACAATGACCTGGAAATACTTGGGGAAGCCATCTCTGTCGTTCTTCTTGTAGAACCTCTTGGGGTCCAGGGAGCCTCTCATCTTCAGGACCCGAAGGTCTCCTTTCAACTCCTGGGTAACCTCTGGAGCTTTCATACCAAACCAACCGTCTCCCGTTGATTTTGCCCTCTCTGCCTAAAAAATAAATAATCAGTACAAAACAATCTTCATTGACGGACAGCTTACCAGACTTCAAAACTGCTTTAATTGTTCAAACTAAGGGCTAACTTTTTAAAACTTACTCTGTGTTTCAACTTTAAGGCATGTTTAGATTCACTGTAGGGAGGCACTGCATCCTTCTTCTCAAAGTCCGGGCCGATCACACTCTTCTTCATTACCTATGGAGAAGCACGAAAACCGCCATCCTGAACATGTCTCTAAAAACAACTCAGAATAAAACGGGTCAAAGTCCAAAAACTTGGACAGAAACTATAAACATTATCTGAATAAATATGATGTTCATTATTCATTCTTCACCTCAGCTCACCGTCAGAGAAACAGAGAAAAATCAATCAGTAATTTACCTCGCCCAAGCTCTTCTTTTCCTTCAAATTTTGCAGCAAGCTGGAGACGGGTTTTGATTTGCTGCCATCCAAACTGATGTATAAACCCCCGAGCTCCTTCACCCTGATGCCGGGGTCAATACGCGTGGACATCTCTGTCCTGAAATTAATAGGCACAAAGAAAATTCCTCAGGAAGTGCAACCACGTCTCATTCCACGCTACACGGCTGTGATGTAACCTGGAGGCTCTGCAGTCCTTTACATGACCAATCCGTTTAAGAAAATAATAAACTCCCCAAACACATAATCAAGTGAGCAGGTTGTTCTCTCAATGACGCCCCTTCACAGTGACAGGTAAGCGTTGTGACAATTCAGTAGAAATCTCTGTAGCACAAACCACTCTTGCAAGGATGAGTAGCAAAAGGTTAGGCAAGCATTCCCTAAAACTTGGATAATTAACCCTGACCTCCACTTTTATGGGTACCTTCTGGTCTATTATCTACAAACACAGACCTTAGTATCCAGGTATGAAGCTTTTAAAACAACAGGGACATACTGCAAAACAACATATTTGACTGTCTTGAAGTAGAAAATGATTTTAGAAGAGATAGAAATGAGATGTGTTAATATATTAGAAAAACTGCTAGTAACAGTCTTTAAAATGTTTCCTCTAATTCAGTGGGTAACTGGATCTTTTCGTCATCCTGACCATTCAAAGTGCTTTAAGCTCGAGCCACATTCACCCATTCGCTTTCCCAAACATGCATACATTCAAACACCCGACTGTATATTTGCACCCTGCTTAGCGGAGCTTTTCTTAAGTTAAGCCATAGTTGCATTCTGATCTTTTTCTCCTCTTCTGCTCATTAGACTCCATAATTTGTACATTTTTAATTTCTAATGCCAATAAACAGCTATTCCGTTAATTTTAAGCTATATTTTTGCATGTTGCCCGAAGACAGAATTTTTGGAGGTTTTTTTGTGGTTGGATGCGAGTAAAATCAAAATCTGTAATGATTGCCTGAAGTCCCGCCTCCTTCCTTCATTGAGTCGTGGGACAGTTTGCACGTGTGACGCTGTGCAACACAGAAAACATCACAAAAGATGAAGGTGATATTTTTCTTCACCTCTGCCTTCAAACTGGAATAATCTGTTTCACTTACAACTGAGAGCTTCTGCTGGAGAACAAGGCTTTTGAGTCCTCATCTTCATCCTCGTCCCCCTCTTCGTCGATGAACTCTTCATCTTCCGATTCAGCTCCTTTATCCACAGCTTCCTCTTCCTCTCTGAAGTACTGCTGGTCAGCATCTTGTCCGGGTCGAGTGTCAATCATAAACAGACCCTCCACCGCGGACGTCGAAGCTGCCTCGGACATGTTGGAAGGCTCTTTTCGGCTTTCCTCTCTTGTCCCCGAATTGTCTTCATCAGACATCAGGTCCTCGTCATCTTCCTCATCGCTGCTGTCCAGCAGGCTGATTGTTTTCTTTTTCTGGACAACAACGTCCTTAGATTTCTGCTCTGAGTCAGACTCTACCATGACCTTTACCTTCTGGCTCGCTGTCACCTGGACTTCCAGTTTTTCCTCCTCACTGGGCCTGGTTCCCTCCTCCAGAGGCTCGTCTGCCGGGGCGGGATGGATCCCTGCAGCTTCCTGCTTCTCCTCCCTCTCTGCCATGTCGGAGTCCATCTCTCTTATTACTGGAGCAGACTGAAGACTCTGCTCTGGCTTTGATGGTGGTACCGTTTCCTGTATCATCTCCATCTCTGAGGCCTCTCCAGGTTCGCTTTCATGGGACAGCTCCTCCTGCAGGTCTTTGGTGATCACTGCAGGCTCACTTTGGTCACACACTGACCCTGGGAGCTCCGCATCTTCTGATGGGTTCGTTTTCTCCTTTTCTGCTTTCTTCTCATGGGCTCCACTGGAAGTAAACTTCATGCTTTCCTTTTCTCCAGATGTTTGGATCGTTTCTTCCTCTACCAGAGTGCGGTCTGCGTCCTCTCCAATCACGGTGCTTTCTAACGTAGAATCATTCAACAAGCTCTCCTCTTTGGCTGCTTCTTCGCTTTTTTCTGAAACAACACTGCTGGGCTTTGTGGACCGTCTGGATGTTGGAGCTCTCTGACTGCTGGACTCTGTGCTTCCCGCTGATGAATTTACTTCCACCTCCTCGGATTCTGAATCCACGGTGGATTTAGACACAGCAGACTGGGTTCTGGTGCTCAGACTGGAAGTGGGCCCAGACTCAAACCCGTCAGAGTCGCAATCTGATTTCTTATCTTGGTTCCCAGTCAAAGCTGCTTTCCCTCTTGTGGGTCCTCTTCGACGAGTCGTCCTGGTGGGGGACTGGGAGCTTTCGGACAGCTCGTCCAGGTGGATGGGAATAGGACGG